GATTCCTGTTCTGTCTCTGTACACTTTTACTACCCGAAGTGTGGTCCACAGACCAGCAGCATTGGCATCACCTGAGAGCTTGTCATAAATGTGGAATCCCAAGCCCTACCCCAGACCTACTGGATCAGATGTGTATTTTAACAAAATGCCCACATGAGTCTTGTGCACATTAAAGTTTGAGAGGCACTGCTCTGCAACACACCAGCAATATACAGAATAAGCAGAGAAGGGAGCAAGATTGTCTAGAATAGGGCTTCTCAAACAAGTTCCCTTGGAAATCAGTTTTGAGCTGGAAAGAGGTATGTTCTGCTGCTCAACTTGATAATGGTGATCTTTTCCAATTCATAAATAAAATTAAGTTAATGAATTATATTTTCTCATCTTCCATAATTTTTCCTCTCTTCTTTGGAGTTGAATATCACTTGCCTGTTAGTAAGTTTAGATGATGACAATTGAACAGTAGTAAAGAAATACCTATGGAAAGCTCAGAAATGTTGTTTAATTGTTTGTTGTATTTTTTTCTTTAATTTGTGGGTTTTTTAATTCTTGGACTTGTGATTGTGATTTTATGGTGCATAACAGAGAATAGTCATATTTTCTCATAATAAACTTGTTCCTAACTCACATTACAGAATTCAATGTTAATGTCTTTTGGTGTTCCACAAAAAGCACCTGATTCCCCCCATATGAACATGACTATCAAGTCTTCAGAATCTCTCTAGAAATCATCTCACCAAGAACTTGCCATAGGAAAGTAAAGTTAGAAAGAGTAACGTACGTCTCACCTATTCCTCCTCCTTCAAAGAGGATCAACATTAATAGATACAAATATAACCTACTGGTTCTTTCCGAATAGAAATATGAGTGGTTTTTAAGCCATGTTCTCCTTTGTGTTTTTCTCAATATTCAAAAATATCTAGAGTGAACATCCAACAAATATCTAATGAACACTTACTAAATGACAGGCACTCTTTTAGGTGCTGGAGACACAGCAATGAACAAGCCAGACGAAAATTTCTCTTCTGGATTGGTGGTTGCCAGAGGCTGAGGTGAGGGTGAGGATGAGGGTCGGGGCAAAACGGATGAAGGGAGTCAAAATGTACCAACTTACAGTTATAAAATAAATAAGTCCTGGGATGTAATGTACAGCATGGCTACTAGAGTTAATAATACTGTACTGCACATTTGAAAGTTGCCAAGAGAGTAAATCTTAAAAGTTCTCATCACAAGAAAAAAATTTTTTTAACTATGGATGGTGACATATGTTAACTAGGCTCACTGTCGTGATCATTTTGCAATATGTACAAATATCAAATCATTATGTTGTATACCTGAAACTAATGTAATGTATGTTAATTATACCTTAATAAAACCCAAAATCTTGGTTCTGATGTCAGTATCTCTGGGCCTTTCCTCTTGGGCTGGTCAGATTCCTTAAAGAAGACACTGCAAGTTTCCTCTCTGGAGAGTAAATATCTTGTAGCTAGAGATCTAGGAATTGAATGGAGGAGGAGGGTTGGGAATCTTCACATCCAGTATCCATTAGTTCATTTAATCTCCCATTTTATACAGAGACCTCTGATTCAGCCCTCTCTGGAGAATAAATACTTCAGTCTTCTTTTGGAAGAGTGGGGTCAGGGGGACAGTTGAAGAAGGGGAAGGTGACTTGGAGATCTAACTGTTCTTAAACAGCTTTCAAAATCCTTGTTTTAATCCCTGCCCATGGTACAAGATGTACATGGCAGCCCTGTTGTCCTATACACAGTAGCTAGGAGGGGAACTACTGTTACCAACTCCTGAGACTTGAGGGATTCTGCAGTTTACATCAGGTTGGGTCTCAGCTTTTCCCACTTGGGGTTTCGGATTCAGGTTTTTCCAGGCTAGTAACTTAGTGAACACTTGTCCATTTGCTTCCCAGCTTCTACTTTGTTTTTTGTTTTTGCTACTGGCTCCTCTCATTATTGGGTGCTTATGCTTTTAAAAAAATTCCATCACTGTCATTTTAGTGGTGTCCTAGGAGGGAACAAAAGTAGTTCTGTGTGTTTAAGTGTTTAACATCGTCACTTGCAGGAAACACTTTCCTACACTAACTTAAATCCTCTCTCGTTATCATTCAAACCCTTATTCTCCCACATTTGTCCTTAGAATTAGATATTGGAATAAAACATGTATTTTTACTTGTAGGTGATTGTAATTTAGGAAGAGTTCACTGTCATTCACACCCTTTAAAGTTTTAAATAGCAGGAAAAAATTGATCACTTTCCCCAGCAGATCAAAAATGGAGATGAGACATATACATATTAAAAATTATGTGTGTAAAAGGTTAGTTACTGCAGCATTGTTCATAATACCAGAAGACTGCACAGAACCTAACGGTCCAGCAACAGAGGACCTGTTAATTAAAACATCCCAATCCATATGGTAGTATAATATACAGTCAAAAAGGACGAGGCAGATCTTTATGCTCTGCTGTGGAAGAGTCTGTAAGGGCAGAATAGAGTAAGTATAGTATGCTATATTTGTGTTTTTAAAAATATATTTATATAGTATCTACATCTGCAACAGTAGTTACCTCCTGGGAGGGGAACTAAGTGACTGGGAGACAGGGAGTAATAGGAACATACCTTTTGCACCATTTGAATTTTACAACATAGTCCTATATTACAGTAAGTCCCCTACATATGAACCTTCAAGTTGTGAACTTTCAAAGATGCCAATGTGACATTCCATCAATGTCAGGCGTGAGTGAAATTGCAGCTTGCCCTCCGTCTCCTATGGCTGATGATCTTTCAGCTCTACCATCTCCCACCTCCCACCTCCTCTCCCTCCTCCAGTCAATAATTCTTCTTGCCTGTTCACTCGATGCCAGCCCCTGTATGCCAGCTATTGAACTGTACTACTGTACTTTTCAAGGTACTGTACTGTAAGATTAAAAATGTTTTATTTTTTGTTTGTTTTTTATGTATTATTTGTGTGAAAAGTACTATAAACCTATTACAGGACAGTACTATACAGCCGATTGTGTTAGTTGGGTACCTAGGCTAACTCTGTTGGACTTGCAAACAAATTGGACTTACGAACGTGCTCTCAGAACGGAACTCGTTGGTATGTAGGGGACTTACTGTACTTACTTTAGAAATAAAGAACTAATGAATAGTTTTTAAAAGGATGAGCTCCATGAACTTTACCTTACAGAATGCTCTCCCTGATTACTTCCACCTAGCCATGTTTCACCCCCTCTTCAAGATGTTAATTCCCAATTCCTTTTTTGGACAACTCCAGCTCAACTACTCTCTCATCTGATCTCCTTTGCTAGAAATTACTGTGTGTGGCAAATCATCACACATTGCTTTGTTACACCACTTCTTCTAAAAAGTAGTATAAACCATCTTGCATTAAACTTTTCATTTTGTATTTTCATTTGTTTCACTGAGCCTTTTAGGGGTTGCAATGGTCTTTGAAGGGGTCTTCAAAGATAAAGAATGACAAATGGAGAATACGTGAGCAAGTAAAAGGGAAGGAGAACATGAGAAGGAATTTGCAGTTCCTCCTTAGGGGCAGACTTCACACGCATTTACAAAGTAGAGATTCATGTGAGCCAGTGACCCCTTTTTATACAATACTAAAAGCCCCTGGATAGGTAAAACCTTCCCATTTTACATGGAATTAACCCAAGTATCACAACATCAATTAGCTAAGAGCACTTGCACTCAAGGAATGAGAGGTTGGAAGACTAAAGCAAACATTTTGAAGCAAAACTCACAAAATTTTAGAGGGCATAAAGATCAAATAGCCCAAACCCTTACTTCACAGGTCTCAAGGCAAGGCATTGGGGAAGTTCAGACTCAAACTCAAGTCTCCTCTTAAATTCTGTTGGGGGACTACACTATCCAGCCTGTGGGTAAAAGACATCTGGCCTGGGTAGAAGATGGGATCTTTCCACAGCAAGAAAGACAGGAGGGCTCTGTGCCTGGAGAAGAGGAGAAAGCAAGCAGGAAGTGAAAAAGAAGTGGTTGTCAAGTTTTGTTTTCTTCCTAATTGTGTCCCAGGCTCCGTCACAGTACATGTCACTAGAAGTCTTCCATATTAGCAGAAGCCAAATTAAGATAATCAGAACTGGTCTGGAAGGCTACTAACCTCAACTTCCCTTTACCCAGCTCGGTCTCTCTACTTCAAGAAACCAACTAAACTTCAGCTTACAGCTCTTTAACGACCCTTCTACAACCCCCCTTCCACACCTGGAGAAGGAAAGTCTGAAAAGGAGAATGCAATGCAAACATGAGGGGTTTCCCTATTTCCGTGGTATTTTCAGCCGCTTCCCCAGTATCTACTGTATTGGAAAGTGAGAGCCATTTAGGGTAGCCATGGAGACAGTAATAGCCTCGGTCTTGTTTCCTTACTTTTCTTTGCTATTAAAATCTTTCGCTCTGATTTCAGTAAGGCACCCCTACTTCTGCAGGAGTCCGGGTTCTGCAGGTGCTCTCTCTCCTCAGGGACACTTCTGTAGGGAGCAGGAATATGTTTTTAAATAGGGAAGAGCG